TAAAACTGCAGAATGCACATTCTTTACAAATGCATACAAATGTTCTCAAAATAATCTATAGGCTGGGCTATAAAATATATCTCAAAACATTTTAAATAATAGAAATTATAGAAAGTATATTTTCTAAATACAATGAACTAATCCACAAATAGAAATCCAGAAAAGAAATCTTAAAAAATCACCTAAATTTGGAAATTGAGCAACATGATTTCAAATGACCCATGGATCAAAGGATAAAACAAGAGAGGAGAATTAGAAAATATTTTTAATTGAATAATAATTACAACTCAACAGCAATTAAGATTTGGAGATGAATCTAAAGCGACACTTAAAGGGAATTTGGTAGTTTTAAATGCTTAAATTATGAAAGAAAATGGGTGTAAAAGAAATTAAGTTTCCACCTTAAGAAACTGGAAAAAAAGAAGAGTAAATCAAACCCAGTATAATTAAATTTTAAAAATGTATAAAATTAGAATAGTGTATTTGGTAATATATGTCCATATATGTCCACTTCTAGTGGTATACTAAATACTTGCAGTTTCACTTTCATTTATTAACTAATATTTATCATGTGTTAAATGATAGGTGCAGCTTTTGCCAAATGCTAAGAAAATATGCATGAATAAGTATCAATCCCTGCCTTTAAATATATTATTTGAAGACATAAGACAAACAGACACACAGACACAGACACAAACACACACACACCCCACAGAGACAGACAAGGAAACAATCACAACAGGAGTATGGCTAGATGCCAAGGCAGGCAGAAAAGAGGATGATAAAAGTTCTCTTTTACCTCATTCCCCTGCTTCAGTTAAGAGTTACAGGTAGAATAGCACCTGATAGGGGTCATAAAGGGTGAAGAATCTGTGCACACTGTTCCTTCTCATTAGAAGATTTGGCTCCATAGTAGATATGAGGTGAAAAGGATCAACAGCACACTTATGGAATTATAAACACAATAGTGATGTTGCTAAATTGGTGAGTGGGATTTGGGGATTAGGGAGCCGAGTAGGAGCAGGAGCCTAAGGAAGGAGTTAAAAGGCCAGCGATGGAGGTCATATAATTTCAATCTACTGTTTGAGAAATGTATTATTCACTTATCCGACCCACCATTCTCACCATAGCCCAAACCAACACCTGAATTCATGAAATTAAAGATGCCAAAGGAAAATCTATAGTCATGTTTAAACCAACAAAGTAAAGGAGTAGGTATGCTATTACACTGAATTTAGTTCTGAAAAAAAAATCTCTTTTAGCATTCTTTTCCCTAATATACTGTGTTTAGACAGTTTTAACAAGATTTGATCACTCTATCTATTCAAATACCTCTTCAATTTAAGCACTAGTCAAGCCCTGTACCATTTTAATACCCAAGAAATCGACCGGGTATTAGGTATACACGCTTTTGTATAAATGGTAGACTTGAGATTTGCCTCTGTCTATGGCATTCCTCAACCAAGGCAATAGACTACAGGTTTCTGCTCCTGTAGTTGTCAGTTGGGGATAGTTATTTTTGAAATTACTGATTTTCAGGTTCTAAAAAACAAATTGAGACTCTCAGGAAAGAGTTTTTTATTACTGTCTTGTAGAGAGTCCAGTCATGCCAGTTTAATTTCTCAAAATTTATGTATCTATTACAGTGATAGCAAGTAAATAATTTTATAGACCAATTAACTTGGCCTTTGAAATATTTTTCTACTAATTAAATGGGAACAAAATTATATGCCCTTATTTAGTTAATCCAAAAATCGAAAAATGAATTCTCATGCACAAAATTTTCTTTATTAAAATCAAAATTGTCATTAAAACTGAGACTGAAGGGGCCATTTAATAATGACAATTGCCTGGTTCCAGGCAACCATTTTCATTTTACGATAACCCCCTGAAGCATTTTAATCACCCCCCTCCCAATACACCTTCACTTAAAAAAATTATATGAGGAGTTCTCATCTGTAACATGTTTCTCTTTTGTCAAAATATGCTTTTTAAGGCTGAAAGTGATTGTGGAATTTGGGGAACAGGTTTATTTCAGTCCAATCTGACTGGGTCAAAGTTCATGACAGTGAAAATACTTTGAGTTTCTAACTGTTTGCTTCCTACTCCGGGATGAAGTCAGCCCAGTTCTGCTTTCTCTTATATTGGAGAGCAATCTGCTACATGAGCTGTGAGCTGATGAACATCTCCATCACAGTGGAGAAAGGAATACCCTTCTGCATAAGCATCAATGCCACTTGGTGTGTGGGCTACTGCTACACTTGGGCAGGAACTCTGCTTTCCTGGAAGTCAGGGGACTGAGGATCTATACAAAGCAGGCTTCACGAATTCCCAATTTATCAATATTTTGACTCTCCTCAATAATAGCTGTGAATCACTTAGCTAACTTCTCTGCATTGTGATTAAGGTTAATTACCATGATATCATTTCAGTGTCTAGGTTTGGATTTAATTTGGGTAAAACAAATTTGGGACATTTTCAGTAATGTGCCAATTCTGCATTTTGAAAGACTATTTTTCTGCTAGATTTACTTATTGGGAGATAAAGATGGGCATCGATACATATTTAATCATGGAATATTATCAATACTCTCAAAAAGCCAAATGCAATAATAAAAGGCATGCCTTTGTAACATAGTACCAAAATGCCTTAAAAGAAAAATAAAAACATGACCAGCCAATTAAAAAATTCATTTTATTGGTCTACCTTTAACACAAATGCCAGCAGGCAGCCTGAGAACAATCAATCCCTTTAGATTAGAACCAAAAGGAGTCAGCAAATCTACTCCCTTTATGCTGTTGAGCAAATCAAGGCATAAGTGCATTACACCATTTGTCTACGGCTCTTCACAACACGCCAGTTATCAGGGAATGTGTTTCTTCTTTGCCATTTTTCTGTTGCATCTGGCTGTGCAGGAGTTCAATAAACTGAAATTGAAGGTGGCTGCATTTTAATGAATATACTTTATGTGATACTAAAAAAGTGATCAATGAAATTTAACTCATTGCATTTTAGGTGGGACAGAGATCTTGTGGCCAGCCCAGGAAAAGAATTAACCAGCAGCCCCTTCTCTCCCTTAAAACCAATTATTTTCTCATTGGGCAAGTAGAAGAGTGAAACATACTTGGCTTGAGTTAAATGTATTGAGATTGAAACTATGTCATACACTTTTGGATTAAGAATCCTGCAAATATACAGAATTTAAGGCAGTGGCAAGGAAAAAACATACAAAGCAATAGATATCCAAAATCCAATGAGACTTCCCTCATATTTTAGGAAAATATCAAGAATTCAGCATATGACTCTTATTCCTCTTTTAAATATAGAAAAGAGTGATTGGAAATATCTTTGTAAGCAATTAAACCCAAGTGTTTTATGTTTTTAACTGTCATTAACATAGCTTCAGATTACCAAGTACAAAAAGAAAAGTCTTTATATTCCAAGGTCATATTTCTTTATTCCTTTATCTCTACATGCTTTTATGCCATACAAATTTAAGGTTTTTATAGAGCTTCACAAATATTAAATACGTGGGTATTATCATGGTGGGGAGGAAGGAAGTGTCCATATCTTCTATAACATTTCCCAGGACAATTCATAAGAGTGGTATAAAATACATTTTTTTATAAAGTCATATTTCCTGTGCCTAAGGATCCTATAACCTGGTCTTCAGAGAACAAATACTAGAATAAGCAGGATTAAATCCCTCTTTATTTATTTATTTATTTATTTTTTTTTTTGAGAGAGAGAGAGAGAGAGAGAGAGAGAGAGAGAGAGAGAGAATCCCAAGCAGTCTCCACACTCAGTCCAGAGGCAGATGCAGGGCTTAGATCATTAGACCCATGACCCTGGGATCATTACCCAAGCCAAAATCAAGAGTTGAAGGCTCAACCTACTGAACTACCCAGCCACCCTTAAATCCCTGTCTCATTTCGACTAAGCCAAAAAGAAACTTCCAGAATATTATAACCTAACTCTCTCCTTCCTAAACTCCTCAGGATCTAGTGTATAAGGACTCAGGCAGGCCCAACATTCAGAAAACACGTACCCTCAAGGAGCTGATGTATGACACAGAGTGCCTAGCTATGCTCACCATGTAGGCTCCCTGTATATGTACCCAGTAGCCACTGTATATCACTGTGGCCAAGTGTAACACAAACATTGACTGCACCATGTGAAACCTGGGGCCTAACTATTGCTCGTTCAGTGAAATGAAAGAATAAAGAGCAGTAGACATTTGGGGCAGCCCACCCTTGTCCTAAAGGACCAAGATATCCAAAATCTCCATATATGTCCATGTGCCCAGGCTGCAAACCACTGGAGGCCAGGGGACCATCAGGCCCCTGATCTCTGTTGTCCAGGCAGAGGAGGAGCTCCAGGTTTAGAGAGTACCTGGCACCACTCAACCCTGTATTCTTAGGTGTGGGCTCTGTAGGTTTAATTCAACTTGAATTATGGGGCTTTAAGTTGTTTCCAATATTTAACAGATTTAGAGGTCCCTAGAGAAACTCTGTGATTTTATAAATGAGAAAACCTGGACTTAGAAGAAAGAGCTCTTAAGATGGATGACTGGGTAGGAGAACTAAACCTCCTATGAGATGTGGGGCACCTGGGTGGCTTAGTCGGTTAAGCGTCCGACTTTCACTTGGGTCATGATCTCGCGGTTCATGGGTTCGGGCCCCGCGTCAGGCTCTGTGCTGACTGCCAGCTCAGAGCCTGGAGCCTGTTTCAGTCTGTGACTCCCTCTCTCTCTGACCCTCCCTGTTCACGCTGTCTCTCTCTCTCCTAGAAATAAATTTAAAAATATTAAAAAAAAAAAAATCTCCTATGAGATGTATGGCCTGCAAGGGCAGGGCCAGTGTTGTTTCAGCGTCCTGGAGCCAGTACCTAGCTCTATGTCTAACCACTTAAATATTGAGGGAGGAGTCAGGAAGACAAGGAGACTGAGCCAAGAGTGCCCACTTTATTGCTGATCCTTGGAGGTGGTGACATCAGTTCCACTTTGCGTGCCTATTTTTCAGTCAGAGAAGTTGTTGCTGATCTGTGAGGGTAGGAGAAGGGGTAGAGGAAGATAAACTGGGAAATGGCAAGCATTCAGAATCTGAAGCCTAAAAAATCAGATCTTGACAATTTTTTAAGTTTAATAATTTTGAGAGCAACAAAGACAGAGCAAGTTGGGGAGGGCAGAGAGAGGAGAGAGAATCCCTGCTCTGTCAGTACAGAGCCCGATGCAGGGCTAAACCCATGAACAGTGAGATTAGGACTCAACTGAAACCGAGTCAGATGTTAACTTACTTAGCCACCAAGGCACCCCAACAATTTTTATTCCAAATTTGAATTACCAATCAAGGCCAAGAACTGTTAGTTTGGGTCCGGAAAAATTCAATTACAAGATCAATGACTATCTTTTCCTGAGTTGTTCCCCTAAATGTGTTCCACCACTTAAAAAAAATTGATCGAGAACTTCTAGCCTCCTGCAAAACTGTCTCTTGGGCAATAAGACATATACCTGTTCCTTGTTGCTGTGCCGTCTGGACCAGAATCCTCCTCCTTGGTAGGACGGGGCCCCTAAAGTACATGTGACAGCACTTTAGGCAACTTGACAGGCTAGTAATTTTTATTTGTTTGTTTCATGTTTTTATTTAAATTCCAGTTAGTTAACATATAGTGCAACATTAGTTTCAGGAGTAGAATTTAGTGATTCATCACTTACATACAACACCCAGGGCTCATCCCAAGTGCCCTCCTTAATGCCCATCATCAATTTAGCCCATCCCCCACCCACCTCCCTCCATGAACCCTTGAGTTTGTTCTCTACAATTAAGAGTCTGTTTTATGGTTTGCCTCTTTTTTCTCCACTAGTTTCATTTGTTTTATTTATTAAATTCCACATGAGTGAAATATAGTATTTCTCTGATTTATTTCACTTAGCACAATACACTCTAGTTCCATCCATGTCATTGCAAACAGCAAGATTTCATTCTCTTTTATGACTAATATTGCATTATGTGCATGTGTGTGCATGTGCATGCATGTGTAAGCCACTTCATCAGTTGATGGACATTTGTGCCCTTTCCATAATTTGGGTGTTAATGATAACACAGCTATAAACAACAGGGTTCATATGCCCCTTCAAATAAGTATTTTTGTATCCTTTGGGTAAATACCTAGAAGTACAAATGCTGTATCATAGGATAGTTCTATTTTTAACTTTTTAAGGAACCTCCATACTGTCTTCCAGAGTGGCTGCACTAGTTTGCATTTCCACCAACAGTGTAAAAGGGTTCTCCTTTCTCCACATCTTCATCAACATCTGCTGTTTCCTATGTTGTTAATTTTAGCCATTCTGACAGGCGTGAGGTGGTATCTCGTTGTGGTTTTTATTTATATTTCCTTGATGATGAGTGATGTTGAGTATCTTTTCATCTGTTAGCCAACTGTATGTCTTCTTTGGAAAAATGTCTATTCATGTGTTCTGCCCACTTCTTAACTGGGTTATTTGTTTTTCAAATGGTGAGTTTGTTAAGTTCTTTATAAATTTTGGATACCCTTTATCAGATATATAATTTGCAAATATCTTCTCCCATCCCAAAGGTTATCATTTGGTTTTGTTGATTATTTCCTTTGCTGTGCAGAAGTTTTTTATTTTGATGAAGTTCCAATAGTTCATTTTAGCTTTTGTTTCCCTCACTTCCAGAGACATGTCTAGTAAGAAGTTGCTACGGCCAAGGTCAAAGAAATTGCTGACAGGCTAGTAACTTATTTGTCAATTAACTGTTCAGAGAAATAGTTCCCTTCACAAGAGTAGGGAGTCCACAGAGATTATCTGTATTTTCTGAGCTCTCTATATTTGCTTTATTACTTGACTATCTGTTCTCCCAAATGAAAGGGTAAACAATGAAAATGCCTCGTGACTTATATTACTTTTATTTTATTTTTAAATGTTTTATTTATTTCTAGGAGAGAGAGAGAGAGAGAGACAGCATGAGCAGGGGAGGGTCAAAGAGAGAGGGAGTCACAGACTGAAACAGGCTCCAGGCTCTGAGCTGGCAGTCAGCACAGAGCCCGACGCAGGGCCCGAACCCACGAACCGCGAGATCATGACCTAAGCGAAAGTCGGACGCTTAACCGACTAAGCCAGCCAGGCGCCCCAATATTACTTTTAAAGATATTAACTTTTATTACCTGAATGTTAAAACATATTTAAAATTTTTAAAAATGTTATCTATCAAACGTACAACTTTAGATTTTTTGACATTCTTTTTTTTTAATATTTTTATTTATTTCTGAGAGAGAGAGAGGCAGTGTGAGCAGAGGAGGGTTAAAAAGAGAGGGAGAAACAGAATCTGAAGCAGGCTCCAGGCTCTGAGCTATGTCAGCACAGAGCCCGATGTGGGGCCCAATCCCATGAACCGTGAGATACATGACCTGAGCCGAAGTCGGTCGCTTAACTGATGGAGCCGTCCAGGTGCCCCGATTTTTCGACATTCTTGAGCTACTTTTTCATGACACGTATATGTGTTTACATAATACTAGTGGGAATGTTATTAGGAATCAAATATATCTATAAATATAACCCACAGTCATTGCTCACTTGGAAATATCAATAAGAATTTTCCTGGTATTTTAGTGGTATTTTTCCCTAAAATATATCTATCAAAATTGCTTCAATGAAATTTTCTTAAGAGAGTAGTCATCACTTTCTTAAAATATCTCTGTTGCTCCTCACCCTGTCTACATTAAAACTGATTTATTCTGAGAAAGCCCTTAACTTATCTTATTTTTCTGCAACTCAGACTCAGTGGAAGTCTTCCTTAAAACCTTTGAAATCTAGTTAAGTAGTAGCATTCATAACCTGGAACTGATGTAACATTGTGTGTCAACTATATTTCAATTAAAACAATAATAATAATAAAGTACTAGAGCTAATATATTTTCCATCACATGGATATCAAGGATTATTTTCCAGTAGATGCAGAAAAAAACACTCAACAACCTTTCATGATAAAAACTCTCAATGAATTGGATATAGAAGGAATTTATATTAACATAATAAGGGCCATAGGACAAATCCACAGCTTACATCATATTCAGTAGTGAAAGACTGAAAGCTGTTTTTCTAATATCAGGAATAAGGCAAGGATGCATACTTTCATGTACAACAGTAAACCTTAGGTTGTATTGCATGGGTAAATGCTATAACTGCCCAAATACATATGCAAATCCTAAAGTTTTAATGTTTTGGTATAGGGTTATCATGTAATATTCTGATTACTTAAAATATTATATGTCACAAAAATAACTGAATTGCTTTGTCAACTGCATCATACTGAACTCTCATCAAATCTTTAACAATGTTCATCTGAAATTTTGTCATTTAAATAGATTGCTTGCCTTCATGCAAGAACATCTGGGGGCAATACAACCCATAATACTTGGGTCCCAGTATCACCACCCTAGTGGGACCTCTTATAATCCTGCTGTTAATCCTAATGTTTGGTCCCTGCATTCTTAATAAATTAATCCAATATATAAAACAAAGATTAGGTACCCTTCAACTAATGGTCTTACGAGCCCAATATCAACCTTTAGACCAAAATGATGGAGCTACGACTGACCCAGGATTGGGTCAGCTACAAGACAGAGGGGGAAATGTAAGGGTACAAGTTTAAACCAAACTGACTCCATGACAGGCTTTAAGTTTCCCCTCTAAACTAGAAGGCCTAAGTTTCAGCTTTCCCAAAACTATCAGGCAGTTACACATTGCCCAAGGCAGGAGAAACCACCCTTGCAACACCCAATCAGGAAAGGCCAGCGACCACCCTCCACATTACTAAGGAAGAGGCCTAGAGATAGAAACTATAGATAGGACCCTGTTACCTAATGTTAAAGTTAACCCATTAATCTCCGAACAAGACCCTAGGCTCGCTCTGTGATTGGTTGAATTTAAAGGTACTCTAAATGTTGTAATTGGATCCTGCCAAAAGTAACGAATACTCTAGACAATGTGTATGGTTAAACATGCTGTCAATAATGTTGAATAATTATGATTGGATCACACTTCCCCTGCCACAACTTCTGTAACTCCCCTGTCACAAACCCCATAAAAACCCTACTCTGCCTTTGTTCGTGGCTCTCAGCATTGATCCACTGCATTGGTGATGTCTGGGTGCCCGAGCTCTAGCCTGTAATAAAGCCCTTTGCCTTTGCATGCGTGACTCGGTCTCCCCAGTGGTCTCTGGTCATTGAGGATACTGCAATCTGGGTATAACATTTGGTGCATTGGCCAGGAACTGTGTACTAGAAGTGCTGGCCAGAAAAATCAGGCAAGAAAAAAAAATTTAACCTTCCAAATCAACTGCTAACTACACTGGTATTTAAAGTAAAAACAACAACAACAAAAAACCCATACAAATCAAAATGAAGAAATAAAATTGTCTCTCTTTTCAGATGTCATGATCTTTTATATAGAAAGTCCTAAAGACTCTATCCTAAAACTATTAAAAATAATAAACAAATTTAGTAAAATTTCATAATTCAAAATCAATATACAAAACTCAGTTGCATTTCTATATACTAACAACAAACTATCTGAAAAAGAAACAAAGAAAACAATCTCATTCGCAATAGCATCAAAAAATATCAAAACATGATAAAATACTTATGAATAAATTTAACCAAGGAAGTGAAGCATCTGTACATGCTGAAAACTATAAGATATTGATGAAAGAAATTAAAGAGACAAATAAATAGAAAGATACCCAATGTTCATGGATCAGAAAAATTAAAGCTAAAATATCCATGCTATCCAAAGCCATTTATAGTTTCAGTATAATCCCTATCAAAATTCAATGACAATTTTATAAAAATAAGAAAAAATTCTAAAACTCATATGGAACCACAAAAGACCTTAAGCAGTCAAAGCAATCTAGGGAAAGAAATATAAAGCTAGATGCATCATTCTTCTGATTTCAACTATACCACAAAAGCTATAGTAATTAAAATAGTATGATACTAGCATAAAAACAGATACAGAATCAAGAGACCAGAAATAAACTATGCATATACAGTCAAGGACAAGGGAGCCAAGAATAGTTAATGGGGAAAAAATAGTTTCTTCATTAGTTTTGGAAAATATGATATTCACATGCAGAAGAATGAAAATTGACTCAGATTTTGTATCACTTATAAGAATTAACACAAAATGAATTAAAGACTTAAATGTAAGATCTCATATCATAAAATTCCTAGAAGAAAAAAAAATATGAAGCCTGGTCCTCAACACTGGTCTTGAAAATGATTTTTTTTTAAAATATAACACCTAAAGCACAAGCAACAAATAAAAAAGTAAGTAGGGCTACATCAAGCAAAAAAGCTTCTGCACAGCAAAAGAATGATCAACAGAATATAAGGGTAACCTATGAGATGAGAGAAGATATTTGCCAGCCACATATCTGATATTAAGCCACATATCTTAATATACAAAATATACTCACAATAACTCAACAGCAAAAACAAAACTTCCCAAATTATCTGATTAAAGATGGGCAAAGGACCTACCTAGACAGT